TTGTCAAAGAATTTTATTTCTTTGAGATCACAATATTCCATGATGTCCAGCCATTACCATTTCTCAGAGAATATTGATCTTATAAAGATAGCCTTTTGCAGAAGAGACAGGGCTGGGATAATTAAAGGCACTGAGAAATTTCCAAAATATAATTTGTCCTATATTCTTCATCCTGTTTTTATTTTTGTGTCAGCTCATTATCCATCATCTAAACTTGTCCAAAATATATTCACTTATGAACAAACTCAATAAATGGGCTACCAATCCATCTGCAAGTCAAAGTCTAGGAAATAGAGATTCTTTATCCATTTGATTTTTCTCATGCTGATTCCTAGGCTATTCTCTTTCAAATGATAGGAGATGCCATTCAAGAGAGCATGAAGTACTTTGAAACAGAGTAATTAGCACAATGTCCTCTGCAAACAGTATAGTCTTGAGACCCTCACCTTCACATTTCTCTTCCTCTTGGACTTTGTAGAGTATCATTAATGAAAGAATTTTGGAAACCATGTCTCCTTGTCTAATATCTTAGTTGATGTTGAAATCAGAGGGTCGAGGAACAATACTATCTTTGTGGTTATATTCTAACAGATAATTTTATCTATCAAATGTTTTTGACAAATGCATGGGGAATACTTTGTTATAGAAGAGCTTTTTGATACAATCAGACAATTTTTTTTCTGAGGGGGAAACATACTCAACAAATAGGAGACAGGTAGGTGGCTCAGTATATAAAACACTGGGCCTGGAGTCAAAAAACTTGAGTTCAAATCCAGCTTCAGACACTCACTAGCTGTATGACTGCGGGCAGATCACTTAACCTCTGTTTGCCAAAATGGCCAACCATTCCAGTATGTTTGCCAAGAAAACCCCATGAAGAGTTAAACACAACTTAACAACAATCAACAAATAATTAAAAGTGAGGATTTTATATTCTCTATACTTTTTGTTCAGTTGCGTAACTATAAAAATATGATTTGCTATTGTGAACCCTGAAACCCATGAACCCAACCCAAATTTGAGACAGTCTGTTCTAAGAAAGAGACAAACAAAATTGGGGTATATGAGTCCATGGTTTAATTTCTCAAAGTGGCTTGACATGCACTGCATGGGAGTTCAGTCCAAAACTGCCACCCCCCTAAGGGGGCCAGTTCAGAACTGGCTTGGTTTGGGATTTTGGGGTAGAGCATTATATGCCCTTCAAAGAGTAGGTGTTCCCAAGGGGGTGCCAATCAACCATGATTGGTCAACATACTAGGAGGTGGGTCCTTAGATCACTTAGTCCACTGGGGCTGATATTGCCCACCATTAAAGGAAATGCTACCCCCAATCTTGGAAGTCTGTCTCCACCCCAACCTGAATAGATAAAATCAATTCAGGCTTGGGTTGGAGTTTAACCAAGATAAGAAAATTCAATGCAATCTCATTATCAGAGATGTCCTTCTGAACAGCTCTGGAATTAAGGCTGGCAGGGTGGAGGTCTGAGTCTCCAAAACACAGATTACCAAGAGAAATAATTTTTCACACCATAGAAAGTCATCTAAAAAAGCCAGTTTATTCCATTGTAATATTTTCATTGAGGATATCCTCAATATATACGTAAACTATTTTCATATTTTATAGAGCTGATAAAATAGGTCTATGGTCTAGTAGTTATTTCATTATACATTTTTGTAATAATAATATCCATGATCATTTCCATCTTTCTGGGATTTTTCCTCATTTTAGATACCTTAAAAATCAATACTTGAATTTTTGAAATTGTGTCAAATGTAACATGGATGTTTTTTCTTCTGTATTTGGTGAGGTCCTGTCCCTCCTGATGTCTTAAATGCAATTTCTACTTCTTCATATTAGTCCCCCAGATATGTGGTTTACTGTCTTAATCTTAATTCTACTGTCATCAGTGATGAGAGATCTCTGTTGAAACATTGGCAAAGCCAATCAGTTTTCTTGGGATATATCTTTTTGGCATAATGTGGATTATTTGTATCAATCAAGATGTCTGAAAATGTATTTTCCTCACTATTGCTTTTCCATGATTTGTGGAGTAATGCTACTCATAATCCTTCACCCTCTTTAATAACGCTTTTCTAGTGAGTCTGTAACTGAAACTAGTATTTCTCTTGGCTGTCAAGTTTCTCTGCTGGAAGAAAAGATTGAGTTTGTCACCTAACGTGGTTCATGGGCTCTTTTGATTTACTATTCAGAAGGCTTTTCAATGAAACTTTTCTAAGAACTATTAATAATTGGATTCAATGTCTTTACTTTTATCCGTTTCCCATTTTGTAAAAAAAAAAAAAAAGACTTTCTTCATTTAGGTGTCCCCTAATATCCTTACTGACTTTTAGATTTTATGATTCTATTAATCCCAAGGACAGTTTTGAAGAGAGTAAAGGAATCTTAAGCAGCTGTTTATGAGGTATTTGGAAAGGAGGAATAGCATCATCCATCTGCTGAAGTTGATGAAATTTATTAATTGACTAATAAATTTATAGGTTGTCTAAGAGGTGAGTTGTTTTTAGTACCAGAGTGCCAAGTAGTCCAACTAACTCTTGCTCTACCATTGACTGCCTTCCATATGCATTACTATGAGGAGTGTCAGATAAGACCAAGGACAGGATCCTGAATCACTTAAACACAGATAGGATTCTGGTAGGGAGAAACAAAGGTTTGTTCATTTCTTTCACCCATGCCCATTTAAACTCATAGAGGGCTAGTTACCAAAAATCAGTTTACTCTTCAAGCTTCTCTAATTTCCTCATCTCTAAAATGAGAGTAGCATTTATCCATGCTTAATTACTTACAGGGTTATTAAGATGATCAAATAAGATAATGTGTATGAAAATACTTTGAAATTCTATAAAGAGTTTTTTTAAACATATGGCATTATTGTAAATGATTGATGACTTTGCCCAATTGTAGTCTCATTGTGACATGCAAAATTTAAATTTCAGGAATTAAATCATATTTTTCAATATAAAATATGAAAATTAAAGCAAACTGAGGAGAAGGAAAAATAAACATCTACATTGGTAAGTCATCTTGGTAAGACTTTGGTAGCATAGTAGTTAAATCCCTTATTGTGAGGAGTGGTTCTTTCTATGCTAACTCAATCTAAGATGGGTGTGGCATGAAGTTTTTTAAAATAATTTGTTAAAAAAATTTGAAGCCAAGATTAAATATCTTATTCTACATGATGTTGAACAGAAGGAATTTACCATTTAGGCCAAAGAAGTCTCTTCAACTGCATATTCTTTCACTAGAATCCCCAGAAAGGATCTTTATACCAAATCGGTATGTTATCATCAATTAGTGGTGAAAATTTGAAAAAATTTTTGAGATCTGTAAACATATAAAACATTAAAGGACCCTGGAGGTAGGTTACCTGAATGTCTAAATATTGTTGTAGGTATAATTAATGATCTGTTTTATGAGAAATATTTTTCTTCTCTTAAAAATGTCCCATATGCAGAAAGAAGGCACAAATGTATTAACCATACACACATATGCTGCAGTATTCTAACAGATGCACATGCATGTTATGCATTATATATTCTATTTTAATAAATGATATTTCTTTTCCCTCCCAAATTGTGAAATTCATCAAGAACAATCACTTAGACTTCAGATAAAAAAGATATGGCTTGTTGGTTCCTCCAAGGCTAGGCAGGCAAAGTATTTCACTTTTTTTCATTTCCCCATACTGATCCATGGCACCGTGGTCAGCATCAATGTGTTCCAGCTCTCCTGTTCAACTGTACTCAGATTTTCAGGGTAAATTGGTAGAAGTCATGCATGTCACATAGAAGTGTGAGGATTATGGAAGGACTTAATGCCACAAAAGACTTAGATTTATTTCCCAAATACTATACATTGTTCCTTAATTTTAAGTGCTCAGAAGTCTGACAAAAGCATAATATAATATGAACAATGTGCATCAGTTAGTACATGGAGCATATATATATGTGTAGTTAATATATTTCTGTATTCAGTATATGTAAGCCTATGTATGTGTCTGAATATTTGGGTAAGTCTTTTATATACTGTGTATGTATGTGGAAAAAGAGGTAGATGACCCCTACATATGTTGCTATTTTTGAGGGAACTTAGCCTAGGCATAGTTTACCTGGGTATGAAGCCTAAATGGGAGAAATAACCTCACTCACTGCATTAGCATTGGGGAAAAAAAAACTGTCTAGGGATGGGTGTTCCTTTCTTTTACTACTCTGATGGAAAAGGAGGAAGACAAGAGTTTTAGAAAATGTAAGGACCCCCTCAAGCCCCCTTTACCCCAAGTATACCTCACCCAGTGCCCTAAAAGAAGCTGTAATATCTTTCTTCGCACCCCCCACCCCCATCCTCTCAGTGTAGTGGGAAAGTCAGTGGGTAATTGGGTCCAGATTGGAGATGTTTAAATATTCATGAGACTGGCAGGGGACTGGGAGGGGGTGGCTGTCTAGAATGGGGGTGGGGGCTGGGGGAGGTGACTAGTCATTGAGAGCTAGTGAACAATTCTGGGAAAGATACTGAGGGAGAGAGGAAGAAAGAGGCAGAGAGAGAAGGGAAGGGAAGGAGAGAGAAAGGGAGGGGGTAAAAGAGGAAGGGGAGAGAGCGAGAGGGAGAGGGAGAGGGAGGAGGAGAGGGAGGGATAGATAGAGAGGGAGAGTTAGGGAGGGAGGGAGAGAGAGAGAGAGAGAGGGAGAGAGAGAGAGAGA